GTTCCAACTCATAGATAAACCTAGAGGCAAAAAAAAAAAAAGCCTCTTGCACAAAAATGCCCTCTAATTAATTATGCAAATGAAGTGTGGCAATATTCCAAACTGTGCTTCATTTGCATAGGCTTTTGCACAAGAGGAATGCAGTGTACATGTAGCCTAGGAAACTGACAGGATATACCTGGGGTTGGCAAATACCTGTTCAATGGCTTCCTTACCACTTGAATGGCTCTTTCACAGGTTCGATGTTTTGCTGGCTTTGTTAACTAGATTCTTTCTGGAGGAAGCAGAGGCACAGAACAAGGATAGAAAGAGGCTAGTGGATGGGCATTAAGATGCAGTGGTGCCCCAAATTTTTGGGTGCCCTACCTAGCTGCATATTCTGCAAATGAGTAAGGATGGCTTTGGCACTTATTCTCCTAACTCTCCCATGTACTTCTGAAATCCCATCCTTAAATGGTGTAGCTCCTGTTAGAAGTGTGATTAAAATAATCCTGAGGATCCCACTCCCAGGATCATAAAAATGGACTCTTTTCCTATCAGCCCAGAGTATGAAGATGTGGATCATTTTCCCTCTATGTAGGCAGTGTAATAGGGAGGGCAGGTTTTAGATCTGCAGGCTGAGCTCTGTATATGGTGATTGGGGAGATTCTACAGAGAATATGGCCACAGCCAGTGTGCAGTTCACGTTATTTCTGCAGATCAGAACTCTTAATCATCTGGAAGCAGCTTCTAACCCATGATGTTGGCGTGGCTATAATACATCCTGCTATTGTATCATTTCTGCCTGTCCCTGGGGTAAGGCCCAGCTGCAGGTCTGGTGAAATTCTGTATACTGTCACTGTCTGTTTACGTCAATGGAAGTTTGAGGATCGCTAATTTCCACTTTCTGTGCCGACTGCTGAAATTTCAGAATTATTTTTGTCAGTGTTAATTTTTTCTAAACATTCTAGATAGAAAGATTGATCAGTCATTCTAGGCCATGAAATGATACAGTCAGACAGACAGGAATCCTGCTTAGATCTTGACCTGCATCTTCTGCAGCCTGAACTTAACTAAGCCTCTTTCATGGAAGCAAATAATATCTTACTGCCAGTTATTTTTGGTTACAAGTTAGGTCCTTCAGACATTAAGTTACTGGCTTTGATAGCATACATGAGTTAAATTGTTCATGCAGCCAGAATTATTTGCAATTAGAAGGCCCGACTAAGCTGAAAATTTGGATCATTAGGTTCATTTCTGATCTGGAACAGATATCCATAGTGGACCTTGTGACTTGAAAATGATGATTTGATGAAAACTTGTTTGAAGCTATATGTGTTCCCTATCTCACAGAAATGCTGCAATGATTAATTATTCAGGGTAAGATTTGCAAAAGCACTTTATGATGGTCAGCAATCAACTATCCATTGAAAGTCCCTATATTTCTATTGGCTAATAGGGATTGGGCTTTTCCTTTATTTTTTTTATTGGCCCTATCTCCCTTAGTTATCTCATTCTTAAAAACCTAAGCATTATTATAGAAAGTTTCTTCAGGTCTCCTAATGCTTTTAAAAATTTTCATAAAACGATTCCTAACCTATCATGGTCATATTTTATATTAAGGTCCTATTTGTACATAGTTAATAAAGGGTAATGAACAATGAATGGACATTTTAATAAATGATGGATCGATTGTTAAATTTTGTTACAGAATCCATTAGAGCAATAGGTTGCTTATCGCTTTGGCTTATAACCATCTGCAACACCTTCTACTGATGTAGATCACATACAGCTCATGTCTGACACATGCTTTTCATAATCCATTTATAAATGAAATCTTCACGTAAAGGGAAACCACCCTACCTTTTGGTTTTTCTAGGTAAATTTAATAAATTGTGTTTCTAACTAGATAGAAGACCACTGTACATAAAAAATAGACGATCGATCATTCAAAAGTAACTCTCACACTGCTTCCGGGATTACCATGAGAATGAAATAAAACTGGGATGGGGGAACCTTTTTTGGATCAGGAGCAGCTGGCCCACACAGTGGGAGCACCAGCTCCCCAATGCTGGGGGTGAGGGGAGTCCCATGGGCAAGCTGGGGGCTGGATTCAGCCGCCGGACCATAGGTTCCTCACCTTGAAATAAAAGAACACGTAAGAGAGCAGAACGTATACCTGGGCGGAGTCAAACGAACCCACAAAAATGTCCATTCTAAACTGAGATTTTCAAGTGGATTTGAACAGCCGGGGACAAAGGGGGCAATTGTCCCAGGGCCCAGTGATTCTAAGGGGCCCGGGGCTCCCAGCTGCTACCGTTAGAGCAGCAGCTGGTGGTGGACAGAGCCCCAGGCCCTGTAGAATCACTGCTGGAACACTGCACTGCACGCTCCAGAGCCCCACACCACGCCAGTCCGGGTGGAACCGGGGGAGGCTGTTTTAGGCCTGCCCCTTCCACCCGAGACCCCACCCCTTCCAGGACCACAGAGCCGATGCCCCCCCTCCCATTGCCTAAGGGCCTAGTAATCCTGTCAGCTCCCCCGTGCACAGCTATCATTTATTAGCCTCTGGGTAGCTATGATTTGCAGCCATGCAGGCATTAGCTCTGTCACCTAAGCTTTAAGGAACACTGGTTCTATATCAGAAAATCTCAGTGGCGGTCAGAGCACTGGAAACTGAGCTTTATCAATCAGGTGGGATGTTTAACTAGGAAAAGGAGACTCCATTTTCAGGATTTTCCTTTTGGCTCTGTAAAGTTAAAATGGGCAGTCTCTTCCATTTAGCAATTAATATTGTAATTAGCTGGCAAGTGTACCTATGTGTTTAACGATTGTTGACTCAGTGAAGTCAGAGCTGTGCAGCTGTTTGTCATAGCCCCTAACCTGCAGTGAGCTATTGGTGATTCTATTTTATTTCAGAGGATAGGGGATTATGCAGCAGGGAAGGGAATATGCTTCTGAAGCAGATTAAATTCTATCCTCACTGCCAAAGGAAATTCTGAGTGGCCATGGTGTGCCACGGCATAGCAGCAACTGCCACCACCAAGAAATAACAGTTCCTAAGTGACACTAGGCTAGTTCAAGAATGAACCGTGCTTGGAATACCAGCCAGGCTTCCTTTTAATATGATCTGGCCTGCTCATTTTTCAGAACAAATCTGCAATTTACCGCCTTCTTACAGCCCAGTCATATCGCCACAGTTAATTTGAGCACCACGGAGAGAAAATCAAAACTTCAAAGTGTACTTGCTTGACCTAGATTTTCCTTAGATTTTCCTTTTTCTTACTGGAATTACTGGTCTGCTGGCCAGGTTCTGCTATAACCATTTGCTCAGGAGACAGGGCACCATGTCTGGCAATGTAAGTGATTTTGACAATGTGCAAGTGGGCATGGGCAGTATTGTGTTAACTAGTGCATGGCTATGATGTGGCTGATCACAAGAGCCTGGCACAAGTTGCACAAATCCCTATGCTGGCTCCATTTCCCCCAGCTCACCAGTGTAATAGCAGAGATTCTCTTTTAGTTTATTATATGGGGCCTGTGATGTTGGTGTATTTTGTTGCATTTGATGGCTGGTTGGTAGAAATGGGAGCATAATTCAAATCCTCAAGCGACATAGCCCATTTGGATAAAAGGTTTGCAAATCCAAATCTAGGGTTAGCTCTGATCCAATTCCCACTTTTCATCTGGCCATAGCTTTGGTTTGCTGCCTGCATGCAGCCACGGTTAAATACAGATTAGCTCCTCACTGCTAGGCTGACCTTTCGCATTAAGCACTCCTTCAACAAAGAGGATTTAAGCCCTAGAATGATGTGCATGCAAGCACCTTTTGTTGGACTGTAACAAGGCCAACCACCTTCCGAGCACCTCTTTGTGGCCAAAGCTCACTCTGTGGTGGTGTATGGCTACAGTAGGAGCTAAGCCCCATATTCCCAGGCATTACCTGACTGATCCTCAGCCCTCTTTAGCCCTCTGACTCTTCCAGGCCCAAACCCTTGTTTCAGTCAGGCATCCTGCCAGGAGCCTCCAGATTATGGCTTCATCTCTCCCCTAGTTTCAGAGTCTTTTGTGCAGAGACTTTCACTCACTACCATTCACTGCACTCCAACTCCTCTTTCTACATCATTGCATCCTCTTGGTGCTTTTATAGGGCAGTCACCCTGATCTTTCCCAGGTGCGCCTCATTCCATAATCCGGGTCAGTTAGCTCCAGTCCTTAAGAAGCAAACCATCTGGTCACACTGGCCCATTCAGACCCAACAGTTCTCTCTGCTGCCCCCTCTAATTGGTCACAAAGGCTGCGTCTAGACTGCAGGGTTTTTTCGAAAAAAGTAGCCTTTTTTCGAAAAAACTTCACCTGCGTCTAGACTACAGCCGCGTTCTTTCAAAATTAAATCCAAAGAATGTGGCTTTTCTTTCGACAGCGGTACTCCTCATTTCACGAGGAAGAACACCTTTTTTTGAAAGTGCTCTTTCGAAAAAAGGCGCTCTTGAATGCAAACAGGCTTTTTCGAAAGAGAGCATCCAGACTGCCTGGGTGCTCTCTTTCAAAAAAGCGGCTTGCTTTTTCGAAAGTACTGCTTGCAGTCTAAACGCTCTTTTTTGAAAGAGGCTTTTTCGAAAGTATTTTTCGAAAAAGCCTCTTTCGAAAGAGGCTTGCAGTCTAGACGTAGCCAAAGTGTGTCTACACAGCAAAGTTATTTCAGAATAACAGCCGTTATTCCAAAATAACTATTGAGTATCTACACAGCAATTCCATTACTTATTTCAAAATAATGGATAGCTTATTCCGACATCTGTAAACCTCATTCTACGAAGAATAACGCCCATTCTGAAATAACTATTTTGAACTAAGGTGTATGTAGACGCTCCACTTCCGCTATTTCGAAATAGCCCCTCACCAGGGCCATTCTAAGTTATTCCTCCTGGGACTCTAAATCGAGATAGCACATGTACATTAGGGAAGCCTGCCTTGGACTAATTTTGAGGCTTCTCTGCAGTGTAGACGTGCTGTTTCAAAATAAGCTATTTTGAAATAACTATTCCGGAATCGCTTATTCAGAAATAATTGTGCAGTATAGATATACCCAAAGGGACCAGGTTTTGGAACTGGGAATCCATCTTGTTATCTATTAATTCTTCAGCTGTGTTGTCGGTGGCTAGAGCTTGGTAAAGACACCAGTTAAACAAGGTCAGGAAATACAGCTCATTACGTCCCAGAACAAGAAAACTGCCCGAGAGTCTTTTTTGTGGTCTTTGTACCTTGGACTTAAGCTTGCCCGTTGGGGTATCAGCAAACTCTCAAATAAAAAAAAACCTGCAGATGGAGAAAAACTGGATAAAGAATGGCAAAGAAATCAACAATCTGTACCCTGCAAAATTCACACAGGGGACTCTGGGCCTCTCCTTCATTCATTCACAGTCCTCACTCATCACGGTCCAGGCATTTGCTCATCTCTTGATAGGGCTCACCTAACTTGTTACCTTTTTCCAGTGGAAAAAAGGATTTGTCTACAAAGCACATGTACAATTGCCCTCTTGTTTGTATTTGACAATTAGATTTGCCTCTATTTAAGCCTTCTAGCCTTTGTCCTTATTCTTATGTATTATGCTATTTATTTGTGGTATGACTTTGCTGAAAGAACCCAGCAGGCTTTGAGGACCCACTGTGCTAGGCACTGTACACACAGCTAACAAAAAAAAGATCCTTGCTCCTTAAGAGCACTGAACGGTATTCTCGAGAGTGACCCTCCCTGCCATCCTACTCTAGGTAAGGCATTGTTATTTCATTCTTTAATTGAGGGTCACTGACGTAGCTTTCCTGGGCATCCTGATCTAATTAATCAGATTTCAGAATGAGTTGTATAAATAACTGCCTTGCTCCCTGAGTGCACTATTCCCTTTGGAGTTCCTTATTCCCATTCCTCTTTCTTTTACCACCTCTCAGATTATTTACTCACACACCAACATTCCTTCTAATCTTTTCCATCTACGTGCAGATTTTTCCATGTGTGTTGAATAAATTTTGTTATGTGCACTGAGGCATGTATGAATGTGCACCACCAGAAGAAACACAAACCTAGCTGTAGGCACTCTGCTAATCAGCTGGGTGGCATTGGAATTTCTCCTGAGCAGCTGCACAAGGACACAGTTTATAGGGATTGCTGCTTCCCCCCTCAAAAAATATCCCTTCCCTCCCAACTCCCTTGCTCCTCATTAAAGTCTCAGCTCAGTGCCAACTGGAGAAATGAGGTTGAGTCCACAGACTTTTGCATGGCACCTCTGCATGGATAAAAGGATGAAGCACAATATGAGTTGCCTAAGCTTGACATTTATAGGCTGAAGACGTGCTATGGCTTCCCAGAATAACACTGCATCAGAATCTATGCCAGACTGAAGTTACAAAATGCGGCGACATTATTCACAAGAGGCAAGGCCGATGCTTTAAAATAACCCCGACATGACTGGAGGAAGGAAGCCTATTTGTTTCAGCATAAATGACTCTGCTAAACACATTCGGGCTATGGTGAATTTAGAGACCATGCATTAAGGTCCCAGAGGTCTCTCTCACATCTCAAGTCCACATTGAAACACATTCTCTCTTCCTTTGGCTTCACTCGGGTCTCAATATGTAGTTTCCCTAGTGACTTGACTGGAAAACGTATGATTGCTAGAGATGCTGTTGGACTTCCGGGTGAAGGTGGATCTCTTTTTCTTCTTTTTCCACGGCAGGCACAGGAACATGAGCGTGGAGAGGAAGATCTGGCGGAAGTTTGCAGACACCAGGTTGTAGAGGATGGGGTTGATGGCAGAACTGACGTAGAAGAGGACATTTGTCAACATGTAGAAGTAGTGGTAGAAGTTATAAAGGAACCTGATGGAACACAACAAGACAGAAGAAACTTGAGAGGCAAGGAGAGTGAACAACTTGCAGTTCCGAGACTGGAGAACCTGGAAGCCAAATTTGCAATGGTTGGAACACAAGGACTGCCATACTAGATATCATCTGTGGGCCATCCAATCCAACAGTGGCCATCAGTAGATACTTTAGAGGACTTTTAACCCTTCCCCTCTAGAACTCCTAACAGTAGATAGCTATGGAACACACACCTCCTCACAAACATCTCAGTCTAGTCCTTTGACCGTCACACCTGCTCCTGTTTTTCTTTTTATTTGTCCCCCATTATCAACTGGACTCCAGGGTTCAGTGGATCCTCCCATAGGCTGGGAGAAAGCCCCGCCCGTGTCTCGCCCATCTCCCGGTTTCCAATGGGAGTAGAGTACTGCAGGCAACTGGTTTGGGTCTGTCACATTAGATTATCTAAGGTTGGTCAATATTTTTTTTTTCACAATTTGTCTTTCATTTTAGAAAAAAAATGGTTTTTTTCTGAAAATGAAGCTTTTTGCTGAAAACTTGACATCGTTTTTTTTATTTTTGTCATACTTTCCTCAACATTTCTCACCAATATCTTCACTGACTTTTTATAAAATAACTCATTTTCAAAATTATTCATGAAAAATGTCATTTATCAAAATCCCATTTTTCAGCAACCCAAAGTTTTCAATTATTACTTTGAAATTTTGTGTGCTATTTCTTGCTGATATTTTTACCAAAAGTAATTTCACAAAAGCGAGATAAGTCCATTTCAAACCTGAAATGTCAAACTCTTTAGCTTGCAGTTTTAGCAGTGTCAGTCCCAGGATAGAAAAGACAAGATAATATCATTTGATGAACCAACTTCTGCTGGTGGAAGAGACACCTGAAGAAGAGCTCTGTGCAGCTTGAAAGCTTGTTACATTCTCCAACAGATGTTGATTCTTTAAAAGACAGTATCTCTCCAAACTTCTGAGTGAATTTGTCAGCCTGTTTTTCAACCCAATCTAACTATAACCCATGCAGGAGTTCTATCCTCTTCCCATTTTAATCAACTGCAAAACTTCCATTTCTTATAGGTATATAAGAACCAGACTATGGCTGGATACTCATCAACTGGATAAGAAAAGGGTGGTTTTAGTGTGATGTGCAAACACTGTGCACAGAAATGTCCACAGAACTGTATCTCAGACACTGCAACTGCTGTCTCTCATTGCTTATGAGAGTTGTCATAGGTATATGCCATGCTTTGTAAACTCAGGACAATTATTTTTAGTGGTATGGGAGGTTGTGCACCATTCTAAAGCTGTCAACACAATAGCATGAATCTCTGCTAAAGGGCTTTGCTCCGTGTAAATGGTTTTTAAGAGTTAAGCCACAGACCTCTATAGAAAACCACAGTCAACCACAATTGCAGAAGCCACATCAGTGTCTCTGATTTAATGGCTACAAATTGCAAGGATATGTCAGCAGTTTAACGCAGCCAGAGGTGCTTGTTTGGGAAAGTGCACATCTTCCAGACTGAAAGAGCTGTCAACAATTATAAAGAAAATGTGAAATTCTAGTAGCTTGCAGTGCTGGTCCCCTTTGTTCTGGCTGAAGGAAGTACTGGGAAAGTAAGTGTCCTTTCAAGCAGTTCCTTCCTAAACATTTTTAAAGATTAACAAATGCTAACGTTGGTCTATTCAATCCTCTTAAACTGCAGTAGGAAACTGTTAAAATGTCTTATCCCTATAGAAATGTACAAGATTTCGGACAAACATACAGAAAATCTTCTGGTTCCTGTTCAGTAAGGCCTCAGTTTTCAAAAGTGACTAGCAATTTTAGGTGCCTTGATTTTTGGTTGCCAACTTCAGACATTGTAAAGGGGCCTGTCTCAAGGATGGTACCCACAAACAGATCTCTTTTGGAAATCTTTGGTTTCTAAAATCAAGAATGCTGCTTAGGGTCATACTTTATATTAAGATTCCCTTTCATAAAGAGGTTAATAAATGATTAATAAATGTTTTAACAAGTGGATAATCAATGGCTGTATATTGCCATAGAGTCTAGCAGGTCAATAGATTGCTTATAACCATCTACAACAAATACTACAGGTTGAACCTCTCTAGTCCGGCACCCTCGGGACCGACCCGTGCTGAACCAGAGAATTTGCCAGACTACGGGAGGTCAAGATTGTCTAGCAGCATTACCAACACTTCCACTGCTTACTGGGCTCTTAGAAGACATTTAGGGGTGAATTAGAGCTAAACAACAGCACAGAACATTGAGAGCCAGGACTGGTGGCTGTAAACAAAGTTTATGGGACCGTGGGAAACTTGGCCACACCCCGGATAAGTGGACATCCAGTTCACTAAAATCATGCTGGACCATGGATATTGCTGGACCAGACAGTGCCGGACTAAAGAGGTTCAATCTGTACCTATGTCTATTACTTGCTTATAACACCTATAAATCATTTATGAAACATCTGTAAATACCAATTACAAGTGAGGTTCTTTGCCTTCTTTTCCGTTTGTTTCTGTAAACATTAACAGAAAAAGGACCCTGCCTCATCTCAGACTCAGTTCCTCTGTACAGGCTGCTGCAGGAAAATGGATGGATGTATTTAAATAAGCACCATTCCCACAGTACACGGAATATCAAGATAATATGAATTAAATGCATAACCATTATGCTGGGAGATGCCATCAGGGTGCAAGCCAGGTAAGATGAGGTAGGATTGGTGGGAGATGTGTTCTACCAGGGTGGAGAGATTATTTTCAATATGAAGGGTCCAACCACTGGATCACGCTCCCTGGATTACTCATTCGTGATTTGGCAGAATTCCTTGGCCAATATGGCTATGTTACACTATGAGCAAGGGGTGTGATTCCTTTGCTGGTGAACACACGCTTGCACAAGCTCAGTGAGAGCTAGCATGAGTATAAATGGCCGTGTAGCGGCACGGGTATGGCTAGTGACAGCAGCTGCATAACTGAACTGTGCTGAACACACTCCCCCACCGGTTTCAAGAGGCTTTGTACTCAGCACAGCTCAGTCCTGTCTCTGCAGCCACAGCCTGTCCTATCACAGCTACACTGCTATTTATACTCACCCTAGCTTATGCTGAGCTCATAGCATAGATGTAGTCTAGATAGGATGAGCCTCATTTGCACAGGTGCAGACTTCTCCACTGATCTCCATGGAAGTCTTTCAGCATCCTTGAAAATCAGACCTTTTGCTCTTCTGCCTAGACACAGAGGAAGGATAAAATGACCAACGATTGTGATGCCTTACCAACCCCAAACCCAGTGGCGGATTTAGAGTTAGTGGGGCCCTATGCTCTGCCTACTTTTTGCGCTCCCCACTCAGGGACCCAGCCAAGAAAAAGAACATTCACTCTTCCTGCTCCTCCCATTTTTCATTCTTTTGTCTTTATCCTCCTCTATTACAAGCAATAAGAAGTAAATGAAATAAAGTGAGGGGCCTTGATTGTTGTTGTAATCTAACTTTTTTTTCATGGACCGCTAGAAAATTGTTGCAGGTCTCGGGTAGACCACTTATTGATCTGTCCAAATATTGTGTGTACCATTGGCTAACTATTGTAAAGTGCTTTGGATAAGAGCGTTTTGTAAAAAAAAAAACCCATAATCTCTCTGGCCGCGGAGCGCAGCGTCAGGCACCCCAGTGGTCCTGTGCTGGCTGTCCCAGAGAAGTGGGCAGAGACCCACATGTGCTCTACCTAAAGGTGGGGAAGGGCAGTTCCATCATCTGCTTGAGACTCCCCTCCCCTGGGCTCTCCATTCCTTGGCTGCTCTCCCCCTAGCCCATTTACCAGGTAGCAGGCAGCAGCAAGAACAGGGGCTGAGACGCTTCAGAGGATCACTGGGTAGCCACACAGCTGTTGGTTGGGGAGAAGTGGTGCTTTCCCACTTCAAAGTGCCACTTTTCTCTGGCTGGCTGTGTGGCTGCCCCATGCTCCTCTAAAGCCTTCCAGCCTGTGTTTGCACTGCTTGCCACGTCCTGCAGGTGAGCCTCCCTGCCCTCCTGCCCCGCCCCCCCACAGCCCTTTCTGCGGAGGCACTCCTCCCTCCCCCCAACAAAGCTGGACTGCCCCTCCAGGGAGGCCCTGTGTAAGGGCACGGTATGTTTCATTGTAAATCTGCCTCTGCCCAAACCCTTAGCACTGTGTTCCAATCATTACAAATGCATCCTGGGTCTGTAGCTATGAGGTATTAATTGAACAGATTTCTCTTGTTCAGACATGGGCATATTTGTTCATGATCTCATGTCAAACCACCATAAGCAGTTAATTCACCAGCATTACTGATAACTCCCCATTCATAAAATAGCTGTCATTTCAGAACTTTCTCAAAATGAATCATGGATTTTAAAAATATATAAAAAATGCGAATGGAATACATCAGTCTGTGTTAACTGCTGACAAAGTTGTCTCAAGGCAAATGTTATTGTTACATAACCACTTGCTCCTTTAAGTGCTTTTCTTATAGTAAAGTCAACAAGAAATAACAATTTGCTTCAATGCATGCCTAGAAGTCTATTTTCAAAATTAAATGTAAAATCCGGTTGTTACCAAGCCAGGATATACAATTTGTTTCAGGGGATTGCTCTACCGTAAATCACTGCTTCTTGAGCTTGGAATTTATGAAATTTTAATAAACTCTTAGTTTAGTGGCATTTTAGCATTGTGGAAATGTCCTCCGCTCCTCCCTCTCCCTTTCATCACAGGAAACAGAACTTTTTTCAGAAAACAGAGGATAGAATATTGTCAAAGAATTACCAGAGTAATGGTTAGATTCTTCACTGAACATATCTCTTGCCACCTTCATCTCAAGGAATGTGGGGCTAGATTTTCAGATTTTCAGAGAGTTTAGGTGCAGAATTGCATGTGCAAAATGCATGCTCTATTAAATACCTGATTTGTATGTGCAGTTGCCATGACTATGCAAAAAAAATTGGATTGTTGCATGTACATATAGCTAGTTGGATCTATTTGCATGTGCTATTTTCATCTTTTATTTGAGCAATGTGCATACAAACTAGATGTGCAAGTACAAGTTTAATTGCCCACCTAAACTGTCTGAAAAAATCTGGCCATTGATTCCTGTATGTCAATTCTGGCCTTTTACAACTAACCTTGATATATAACCTACTCCAGTCTTATAAAAGACTATAGACTTTAAGGCCAGAAGGGACCATCTTGCTTTAGTCTGAACTCTTGCCCACTGCAGGCCACTGAACCTCACTCACCCACTCCAGTGGTAGGACCATGACCTTTGAGTTCCTGGAAGCCCTCAAATAATGATTTAAAGACTTCAGGTTTACAGCAAATCCAGCTTTTACTCTCATCCAGACCAGCAAATGATCTGTGCCCCACACTGCAGAGGAAAATGAAGAACTGCCAGGATTTCTTCCCATCGGACCTGGAGTGAGGGGGGAATTCCTTCCCAACACCAAATATGGTGCTCCTTTAGATCTTGATTGTGTGATCAAGAACCAGCAGCTGGACAGCTGGGAAAGAATTCTTTATAGTAACTTACAGCCCCCTCCCCTTCCAGTGCTAATAGAAGTCACGGATTCCCAACAATGGCCCACCTCATCATGTCTCTCATCATCCCTTCCATAAACTTGTCAAGCTCAGTCTTAAAACAAGCACTGTGTTCTGCCCCCTTTACTTCTCTTGGAAGGTTATTTTAGAACTTTGCTCCTCTGATGGTCAGAAGCCTTTGTGTAATGTCAAGCCTAAATTTATTGATGGCCAATGTATATCCATTTCTTCTTGTGCCAACATCGGCCCTTAAATGACTGTTCTCCCTTCTGAGTGTTTATCCCTCCGAGACTATCTTATCTCACCATAGCCTTCATTTTGTTAGGCTAAACTAGCTATGCTTGTTGAGTCTCCTCTCATGAGGAGCATAAATATGAAACATTTTATTCACATACTCCCACTTTTTTGTGCCAACTTCTTTAATGTAAATGTGACATAAGCTTGGTCCTAAAATCATTCATTGAGGAATTCCACCAGTAACCTCCTTCCTGCCTGACATTTGACCTTTCAATATGACCCTCTGTAGTCTCCCCTTTAACCAATTCTTTATGCACCTTTCACTGGTTTATCCCCATCTTCTCCAATTTAACTAATAATTTCATATATGGAACTGGGTCATGCTTTATTGAAATCCAGGTAGATTAGATCTATTGCATATCCTTTATTTAGAAAACTGGCTCTCTTCTCAAAGAAAGAGATCAAGTAGGCCTGGCATGATCTACCTTTTCTAAAACCAAGTAGTATTTGTATTCTGAAATATGCAACCATTTTCCTTTCTGTGGGTTCTCTCCTATGACCTAGAAAATTTAGGGTTTTTCAAACTAACTTGTGTTTTGATATGAGCTGCTCCACCTTACAGCTAATGTGCCTCGCTCGGTGTCTGAGATACATACCAACCATCCACACAGTATGGATAAAAATGGTCCAATCAAGGATTTCTTAGGGACTGCCAGAGGTAAAAATTGGTCACTCTATCAATGACAGGTGGTAACTTTAACAGGTGATTGCCAATAACAATCAGATGCTACTTAAATACAAGCTAATGTTTTCCATCTTTGGGATCCAGCTATTAAAAGCTCTAATAAACAAATCAAGCTGAAGACAATTTTGAGACCTTCTGAAGTTCATGTTTTCCCTGTAAAACTTTGGGAACAGGTTCTGATCTCCTTATTAAATATCACCATACCCTTGATTGACCTCAAAGATGCTAGTAGTTGAATAAGGTGGTACTCAGTGGAAGTAAAGTTTGGTCCTAAGACTTCTGCAATGGCATGGTACAATTGCATTCTACTTCAAAATACTGACTCACTCTGTCCAGTGATCTGCTGGAACATAGCAAAACATGAGCCGCCGTACGTGATAAGGAAGCCAGCAGACCACAAAGGCAATCACAACAGCACCTGCAAAGTACAAAAATTGTCCATTATTCTTAGCTAGTGGTGTGCTCTTCTTTACTAGAAATAAAAAAGTGATCATGTTTTGTGCACATTTAACACTGTTTTACTTTTAAAAGCACCACAATGTTCTGATGTGCTATAGTTAAAATCAGTTAACAGCTCCAGAGTGATGACCATGGCTTATTTTCTTTTATGGTAGAGTAAAGGTAATGGAAATAATAGAAACTGATTACAACCTATGGTGCAATAGCTGGGTATAAATATATGAAAAGAATTATAATGCATGAAAAGGCAATAAAGGAAGCCTCACATTGTCTAGTTCAGACTCTACTTCAGATCAAGCAAAATCTATCTCCCCACCGATTGTATTTGTATTTTACCTAACAGAAATAACCATAGCACTTTTTCATCCAGTAGCAGGAATACTATGATTTCAGTAGTTCATAGCACATACCTATGTCCCACCTGTATACAGCCATTGAATTACCAAGAGTCCCACTGTGTTAATGATCTTGAAAGGAAGATTTAGCTCTTTGGGGCAGAACCAGTGTTTCCTGTAAGCTGAGCATTTAGGTGGCCACAAGGAGAGATTCTAATGCTGCCCAGATGATTAGCAGAGCACCCACAGCTGGCAGCAGGTGTTTCTACTGGTGGTACACATCTGCACTTGCCTCAGTGCACATGACAAAATGCATTCCGCGCATATATGGAAAAAAATTGGAGAAAACATTGGGTAGGACCCATCTTTTTCTTTTAGTTGTACATCACCGAAGGGTCATGGTATATGATGGAGGCTCCTAGATGCTACCGCAATCCAAACAATGCATGATACTACTACTACTAAAATCAATAATCAGGCGTATTTACCAAGGG